TTTGATGGAGTCTCTGTCACCAGGCTGGAGTGCAGTGGCACCATCTTGGCTCACTGCAACCTCTGCCTCCTGGGTTCAAGCTATTCTCCTGCCTCAGCCTCCCGAGTAGCTAGGACTCCAGGCGGGCGCCACCACACCCAGCTAATTTTTGTATTTTTCGTAGAGACAGAGTACTATCTGTTTTCTGTAGCAGACTGGGCAGTCCCTTTTAGTAGGTATCAGCTGGACTCTGAGGCCAGACTACCCAGGTGACCTGAGCAAGTCAGGGAGCCCAGCCTCCTGGGGTCTCTCCTATGTCTGTAAGGTCCTTGTGAGGATCCAAAGTTAAGACATGAGGCCAGCCCCGGTGACTCATTGTGTAATCCCTATGGGAGGTAGAAGCAGAGGATCATTTGAGCCCAGGAGTTCCAGACCAGCCTGAGCAACACAGGGATACCGCCTACCAGCCAGGCATGGCCACCTGTGGTTCCAGCTACTTGGGACGCTGAGGTGTGAGGATCGCTTGAGCTTAGGAGTTTGAGGCTGCTCTGTGATCGCACCACTGCACTCCAGCCTGGGTGACAGAGGCAGACCCCGTCTCAAAAAAACGAAACAAACTTAAGACACATAAAGCACTTGAACCGCAGGTTGCCCCCTGGGAAGCTCTGGGGTCAAGAGTCTTTCCTCTGGTTTGGATTTGGGGCTGTGACCCCTGTGTACTGGGAAGATGGGGAGGCCCCGACTCTGGGGGCTGTGAGGGCTTCTGCCCTGACCGCGTGGTCGGCAGCGCAGTTCTGGCTCTGGCGGGCGAGAGAGCTCCGGTCTCCCTGCGGTAGCCCCGCCGGCCTAGGCTTCCCTTCGTCCACCTTCCTCTTTCTGCGAGGGAGAAACAGATCCTGAGTTCAAAATTCCAGAGCTGAAAGTCCTCTCTTGGATCCTTCTGGAAAAAGAAACCAAAGGCCCGTTTTTGTTGAGAAAGTGGCTCGGCAGCCATCTGGAGCTCCCTGCCTACTGGTGGGGCGATTCTCCCGTGGAGCCGACCCGACCTGACCCGACCTGACCCACTCAAAGCTCCCCCGGGCCCCGCAGGTTCGGCTTGCGCACGTCGGGACTTACCAACCGCGCCCGGAAAATCGGGGCCGTTTCCAAATGTTTCGCTTCGCTGACATCTGGGAGCCGCGCCAGGCTCGTGCCTGGGATCAATTGCACAGTCCCGGCTTTGGGAGGTGGGAGGCGGCGAGCGTGCCCCCCTCCCAACCCCTTCCTTGCCAGTGTGTCTGGGATGAGGTGGGGATGGGGAGTCCTGGGGTTCGAAAAAGGATGGGGGAGGAGGAAGAGGAAGTGTTAGGAGCTGGTGAACTTTCACAAACTTCCACCAAACCCTATTGAAAATGCCTTCAATTAACTGGGATTTTTTTTCTTTACTGGTTGATTGATTTGGTTGGAACAAGGTCTTGCCCTGGCACCCAGGCTGGAGTGCAGTGGCACAATCATAGCTCACTGCAGCCTGACCTCCCAGGCTCAAATGATCCTTCCACCCAGCCTCTGTAGCAGGTAGGACTACAGGTGTCTGCCACCAAGCCCAGGCTATTTTTTAAAAATAGAGATGGGATGGGGTCTTGCAATGTCCCCCAGGTTGGTCTAGAACTCCTGGACTGACGCAGTTTTCGCCTCAGTCTCCCAAAGTGCTGGAATAACAGGCCTGAGCCACCTTGTGGTTTTTTTTCTAAATTCTAAAAGCATGCATACTCATTGTTAAAAAGCTCCCCCCCCCCAAACAATCCAGAAACAGGCAGTGTAGTGTATCGATTAGGAAGCAGGATTTTGGAACTTGGGTTTGACTCTCAGCTCTGCCACTTACTGGCTTTGTGATCCTGGGCAAGTTACTTAACCTCTCTGTGCCTGAGTTTCCCCATCTGTAACATGGGCATCATAATAGTGCCTACCATGTCAGGTTGTTGTGAAAAGTAGGCTGTAAAGCAGGTAGAACAGTTCCTGAATGCGAGTTGTTTTCTGTTATCAGATACATGAGTGAATGCTCCCCTCAACCGACTCTTCCTCCCATCTCTGTCAGGCGTGAGTTTGTATTCTGGCAGATCTTAGGACATACAGGACACCCACATACCTATACATACACACATACATATTCTTATAGAAATGGATTTAATAGGGACTGGGTGTGGTGGCTCATGCTTGTAATCCCAGCACTTTGGGAGGCTGAGGTGGGGGGATCACCTGAGTCAGGAGTTCGAGACCAGCCTGTCCAACATGGTGAAACCCCGTCTCTACTAAAAATACAATAAATTAGCTGGGTGTGGTGGCGCGTGCCTATAATCCCAGCTACTCAGGAGGCTGAGGCAGAAGGACCACTTGAACCCAGGAAGTGGAGGTTGTAGTGAGCAGAGATTGCACCATGCACTCCAGCCTGAGCAAAAACAGTGAGACTCCATCTCAAAAAGTATATATATACATACACATAAATATATATTTTTTTTCTGGTTAAAGTTTTTTTTTCTGGATATTGGTTTTCACAAATATATTCTACTGTTAGCTTACCTTCATAAAATGTTGGAATAAACATATATTTATTCTTCTATAAATGTATAATCATAGAAAAGTTGCAAAATTAGTACAGAGAGTTCCTGTGTCCACTTCACCCAGTTCCCCTCATATTATCATCTTGAATTACCATAGTACATTTGTCAAAAGTAATAATTTAAGGTAGGTAATTTACTATTAACTAAACTAGAGATTTATTTGGATTTTACCAGTTAGTATATCTCATTACATTTAGTCATATCATATGTCTTTTTGGTCTCCTTTGATCTGTGACAGTTTCTTAGTCTTTCTTTATTTTTCATGACCTTGACAGTTTTGAAAAGTATTGGTCAGGTATTTTATAGAATGTCACTCAATCTGGATTTTTTTTTTTTTAGCCCAGGCTGGAGTGCAATGGCGTGATCCTGGCTCACTGCAACCTCCGTGTCCCGGGTTCAAGTGATTCTCCCACCTCAGCCTCCTAAGTAGCTGGGATTACAGACATGTAATCCCACCATGCCCCACTAATTTTGTATTTTTAGCAGAAACAGGGTTTCACCATGTTGGTCAGGCTGGTTTTGAACTCCTGACTTCAGGTGATCCATCAGCCTCAGCCTCCCAAAGTTCTGGGCTTACAGATGTGAGCCACTGCACCCGGCCTCAGTTTGGATTTGTCTGATGGTTTTCTCATGATTAGACTGGGATTGTGGATTTGGGAAAGGAGAACTGTGGAGGTGATATGACCTTCTCATCATATCACATGCGGGCATGTGTGATGTCAGTGTGGCTGACTCTGGAGATGTTAAAGTTGATCCCTTGGTGAAGGTAGTGCCTGCCAGCTTTCTCCACTGTAAAGTTAATTATGTTTTCTTTCCACATTCTTGTTTTTACTTTTAAATTTTAATCTATTTATTTTGAGAACAGGTTATGACACTGGCTAATTTTCGTACTTTTGGTAGAAATGGGTTTGCATCATGTTGCCAAGGTTGGTCTTGAACTCCTGGGCTGAAATGATCCACTCAACTCAGACTCTCAAAGTGCTGGGATTACAGGTGCAAGCCACCATGCACAGCCTCTTTCCATATTCTATTATTAGTAGTAGTATTATCTGAGATGGAATCTTGCTCTGTTACCAGGTTGGAGTGTAGTGGCGTGATCTCGACTCACTGCAACCTACCCCTCCCGGGTTCAAGTAATTCCCCTGCAGAGTAGCTGGGACTACAGGTGCATGCCACTACACCCGGATACTTTTTGTATTTTTTTTTTTTTTTTTTTTTTTTGAGACGGAGTTTCGCTCTTGTTACCCAGGCTGGAGTGCAATGACGCGATCTCGGCTCACCGCAACCTCCGCCTCCTGGGTTCAGGCAATTCTCCTGCCTCAGCCTCCTGAGTAGCTGGGATTACAGGCACGCGCCACCATGCCCAGCTGATTTTTTGTATTTTTAGTAGAGACAGGGTTTCACCATGTTGACCAGGATGGTCTTGATCTCTTGACCTCGTGATCCACCCGCCTCGGCCTCCCAAAGTGCTGGGATTACAGGCTCGAGCCACCGTGCCCGGCCTACTTTTTGTATTTTAGTAGAGACAGGGTTTCACCATGTTGGCCAGGATGGTCTCAATCTCCTGATCTCATGATCCGCCTGCCTCGCCTCCCAAAGTGCTGGGATTACAGGCGTGAGCCACTGCACCCGGCCATATTCTGTTATTTTAAAGTGGATCCAGTCTGCACTCAAGGAGAGGGAAACTAAGCTTCATCTCCTGAAGGAGTGGAGTATTGACACATATTGTTTCGAGTTCTTCTTTCAGAAAGACTTATTTATAAAATCATTTATTTATCGAGACTCACGTATACTCATATAGTTTATACTTTGGGTTATCATTCAATGACGTTTTTCCTTTACTTAGTAGATACGACATCTTGACCTTATTTCCCAAATTGCTCCAGCTTTGGCCATTGGGAGTCTTCTGCTTTGGCTCCAGTGTCCTTTGGCCCTCCTCCATCTTCTCTTTTTATTTTTTAGCATTGTCTTAATTGCAGCACTGAGGTGGACTGCAGAGAAAAGCAAACACACTCCAGAATCCACGCACTGGACCCAGATTGGGTGGTGGAAAGGGATTCGGAGGGAGGGGTCTGAGCTCTAATGCCAAAGACAGAGACTTAGGAGACCCGGAAGGGGTGTTTACGGAAAGTCAGGGAATTTTACCTTGCGGAGGAGAGGGGTCCTCTGTCATCCACCCTTGTGTTCCCTCCCCTGGGGTCAGAACAGTGACTCACGGGGTGAACAAGGACTATTCCACTGCTTCTCCCAGGTTCTCCAACTCCGTGGCTTACTACGGCCTGGCCATGGACCTGCAGAAGTTTGGGCTCAGCCTATACCTGGTGCAGGCCCTGTTTGCAATCATCGACATCCCAGCCATGCTGGTGGCCACTGCCACCATGATTTACGTGGGCCGCCGGGCCACAGTAGCCTCCTTCCTCATCCTAGCCGGGCTCATGGTGATCGCCAACATGTTTGTGCCGGAAGGTAAGCCACCCACTTCTGCCCTTGCTGCCCACTAAGAACTGCGAGCCTCTGGGGTCTGGTAGACAGCAAATTTCACATGGCAGCAAGGCCGAGGGGTATTTCTCTGAATCTGAAAATAAAGCAACTGTTAGGCCGGGCATGGTGCCTCACGCCTGTAATCTCAGCACTTTGGGAGGCTAAGGCGGGTGGATCACGTAAAGTCAGGAGTTCAAGACCAGCTTGGCCAACATGGTGAACGCCAGTCTCTACTAAAAATACAAAGAAATTAGCCAGGCATGGTGGCATACGCCTGTAATCCCAGCTACTCAGGAGGCTGAGGCAGTAGAATCACTTGAACCTGGGAGACAGAGGTTGCAGTGAGCCAAGATCGTGCCACTGCACCCCAGCCTGAGTGACAGAGTGAGACGCTGTCTCAGAAAAACAAAAACAGGCCAGGCATGGTGGCTCATATGTGTAATCCCAGCACTTTGGGAGGCTGAGGTGGGTGAATCACAAAGTCAGGAGTTCAAGACCAGCCTGCCCAACATGGTGAAACCCCATCTCTACTAAAAATACAAAAATATTAGCTTGGCATGGTGGTGGGTACCTGTAATCCCAGCTACTTGGGAAGCTGAGGCAGGAGAATTGCTTGAACCCGGGAGGCAGAGGTTGCAGTGAGCCGAAATTGAGCCACTGCACTCCAGCCTGAGCGACACTGCGAGACTCCATCCCAAAAAAACAAAACAAAACAGAAAGTGACTGTTGATTACTAGAGTTTATATTAAGCACTTCGTGCCCAGTGGTGGAGGCCTTGAGCCTTGGCTCTCAGAGCTTCTACCGTGTGGTCAGGGAGGTTAGACAACTCAGAAGCTGGAGAGCACAGGGCTGGCTCGGTGAGGCCGGCGGAGTGTGCGGCTCGCCGGAGTCTGAGCAGGCAGCATGTCCAAGGGTTGAGAAGTTAGAGTTCGAACTTCAGCTGGACTGGCCCTGGAACAGTGGTTTCCAAACCTGGCTACAATGACCTCACCCGGAGCGCCTTGAAGACTCCTGTGCCCAGGTGCTCCTGGCCAGCGCACTGGGAATCTCAAGGAGTGGAACTCAAGCCTCAGTATCTTACAAACTGTCCAGTGAGTCCAGCAAGACGCCAGGGTTGAACAGCAGCGACATAGAGCATGTGCTCAACCTTGTGCCCCTGGTGACTGCAGCCTTGGCCTTGGGCAGGCCGTCCAGCTTCTCTGTGCTTCGGTTCTTCACCTGAAAATGGATGAATGTTATTATGGGTATCTTGACCTCCAACCTTTTTTCCTATTTATAGATTTGTATTTAGCATAGTTGAGATTATATTTTGTTTATACATATAAAAATGTAAATAGGATTATAGATGTATACGTGTGCATGTGTACATATATGATATGCCCTTATTTTGACATGTATATGTTGAAACATACACATGCTTTTCTATGTTAGCACAAATGTTTCATGGACCTGATTTTTTTTTTCTTTTTTTGAGAAGGCTCACTCTGTCGCCCAGGCTAGAGTGCTATGGTGCTCACTGCAACCTCTGCCTCCCAGGTTCAAGTGATTCTCCTGCCTTAGCCTTTGTGTAGCTGGGATTAGAGGTGTGTGCCACCACGCCTGGCTAACTTTTGTATTTTTACAAAAATTAGAGATGTGGTTTCACCACGTTGGTCAGGCTGGTCTCACACTCCTGACCTCAGGTGATCTGCCCACCTCGACCTCCCAAAGTGCTGAGATTTCAGACGTGGGCCACTGCGCTCGGCCTCATGGACCTGATCTTTTATTGTTATATAATAGTTTCCTTCCTGCCTGCCTGCCGTCCTGCCCGCCTGCCTGCCCGCCCGCCCGCCCGCCTGCCCGCCTGCCCGCCCGCCTGCCCGCCTGCCCGCCTTCCCGCCCGCCCGCCTGCCCGCCTGCCTGCCTGCTTTCCTTCCTTCTCTTCTCCGTCTACCCTGTCCTACCCCGCCTTGCCCTGCCCCACTTAGACTCTCTTCTTTTTTGAGACAGAGTCTCACTCTGTGGCCCAGGCTGGAGTGCAGTGCTACAATCGTGGCTCACAACCTCCTAAGCTCAAGCAATCCTCCCGCCTTAGCCTCCGGCTGGGACTACAGGTGCATTCTACCACATCTGGCTAATTTTTTGTATTTTTAGTAGAGACAGGGTTTTGCCATGTTGCCTAGGCTGGTCTCAAACTCCTGGGCTCAAGCAATCTGCCTGCCTTGGTCTCCCAAAGTGCTGGGGTTATAGAAGTGAGCCACTGCACCCAGCCTAGATAGTATTTCATCTAGATTGGTGTTTCTCAACTCTGGCTTCATAATACAATCTCCTCGGCACCTTTAAAAAATACCCAAATTTGAGCCTATCCCCAATAGGTCTTGCTAGAGTGGATATTGAGTGAGACCCAGGTGTGAGTGTTTTATAAAATCTCCCCACCTGATTCCAGTTTGCAGCCACGGCTGCCACCCAGCTGGAGAAGGCACCATCATTTTCTTGACCACTGTCCTAATGTTGGATGTTTGAATAGGGGTTTTGCTATTTATTTATTTATTTTTTTTTTGAGACGGAGTTTCACTCATGTTACCCAGGCTGGAGTGCAATGGCGCCATCTCGGCTCAC